CACTGTAGAAAGAACAAAGAGTCTGAGCGGTGCAAAACAAACTTATATTAAAAAATTCTTCACTCTGAGAACCCTACTGCATTGCCAAGGACAGGTAAGGAATTTCAATAAACTTAGTTTTATGTTGACTGTGTCCCTTTAATTATTACTTTTTGGCACAGCACACAGGACACCTCCAGGCCAAAACACAAGTGATGTTGAAAGTACAACTGTTCCTTCCCTTTGGGAATGAAAGTTTTCTGACTGTTATATAAACATATTTGGATCTATTTTTTAGAGATTCCTCCCATTAGCAATTATATTATTAGCAGTGAGTCAGAGAGCTTTTTGCTGATGTTTTAAAATACTTAACTTAGGGTCAGAACCTACTAAACTTCACCAAGCAAGCAGACCTGGTGTGAAACAGCCTTATTCTCTCCGGTGGGATTGCTCTAATGAGCAAGGGTTGGCAGCATGTGATCTTAGATTGTGAACTATATAGAGCCACTTCCTTTTAATTGCAAGGCACTGGGCACATCCAGGCAAGAGCAAAACGTAAGGAAAAAAGAGCAAGTTAGAGAAACAGGAGATAATTATAAAATGAAAAAGAACCAAGGGTGGAGGGTTTCTCTTTTTCCTGGTTAATCTGGGAAACTTATTCAACTGAGGCAGCAACCAGTGGTCATTAGAGGAGTGCTGTGACACACAGGCAGTAAAAAAAGCTCAAATCCAGGCTTTTACAATAATCACAGACCTGAAGGCAGACATGCAGTTTCTCTCGGATCAGCCTTCTTCTAAAAGCAGACCTGAAATGTAACCCACATGCCTGAGGCTATCTTTGGTGCAGAAGCCCTTCTGGATAAACCAATGTGATGAGTTCCTTGGCAGTGGAGCAGAGTTACTTATAGTTTTGATTTGGCTTTTGCACAGCACAGATGAGGCTGTGGGGAAAGGCCAGCAGGCTGGGGAGGCTCAGCTGCTTTGTTTTGCTGTTACTCACTTAGGATTTTATGAAATTTTAATCCATACAGATTAGACAACTGCCTCTCCTCCCACAGTTTAATTTCACTTGGGTTTCAGAGAAAGCCGAAAAAATGGAAATAAAGCTAAGCTTAAAGCATAGCTTCTGTTTTGGGCATGTGTCCACTGGCTTAAATCACGTAAAAAGGGTCGGCTTCCCCTAGTTTGGAGAACATTTCAAAATACAGCTCACACTTTTCTCAAAAACCTTTTGATTTCCCAGGCCATTTGAATGGTCAGGGGCTGGCTGCTGGTTATGAGGCAGAACCACATGGGGTTTACACAGTTTTGCTTTTTGCTGGGGTACGTTTCTAGCAGAGCTTTTTCCTGCCAAAACCACAAAGGATGAGGCAAAGAGGAAAAATCTCCAAGGCTGTCAGTGAAACGACTCTTGAATAAGGTGACACAAGCCTCGCACACAGAAGATTAAGCCTAATCTCTGAAAAGGGACAGCAGAAAGGCTGGTAGGCTTCAAAATGAGCTACAACAGCTGTGTTTTGGTTGGCCAACAACTGCTCCTGCGTTGGCTGCGGCTGGCTCAGCTCATGTGAACAAGTCAGATTATGAAAATACAGCGTTCAGCAATCCCATCCTCGGAGCACTTGACAGTGCTGCCTTCTCCTTTGTATGTCACTGCTTTGGATGTGGTAACAAAGCAAAGCGGAGCGATAATGCGACGTGACAACAGTCGGTGATAATCGCGTGGTTCTGTCTGTGGTTCAAAGCAAAAGATACCATTTACTGGCTTAAAGCTTGTCTTTTTGTTTCAAAAGTACCTTCTGCTAGGGAAATGCATGCCCTTCTCTTTGTCTAGTTTAACTGCTGGGTTTAATTGGCCTTATTTTAGAGCATAATAGATAAATCAGCAAGACACGGCAGAATTCAGAATAAATCAAGCTAAAAAGCTTTTCATGACTTACTAGTCACCACAAAAGGAGAGAAACTGCCCATTTTCCACAGTAATAAGCTATGCTACCAACCTGAGGAGTAGTTTAAAATAATTAACAATACCAAAAAAGAAAGGGTGTGTATATGAGTGGTTCAGCAGAGCCACTCCACCCAGTACAATGGGAAAAAATTAGCTGGGTGGACCTGCATTCCCGTGGCAGCTCAGAATGTCTTGTCTTTATATTTATGTGCCTGGAGATACACATTTCTTGCACATGATCACAAGCATTGAGGTAAAATAAGATCTTGAAAAGCAAAGCAAGATAAAACAACACACTCAAGGAAAAAAATGGAAATATTTTTTACAGCAAGATAAAGAGCAACTCACTGTGTTTTCAAGAGTGCTGCCTTCCTCCTTTGCAGTAATTATATCATTTATTAGGTGATGTTTCCTGTATGATATTTAGAATTATTGTGGGAGGATGTGATAACATCCAGGTTTATTAGATAACTTTGGGAACATTGCTGTGGGAGACTAAAAGAGAAAAGAATGAAAGAAGTAAATTGTCTAAGAAAGATCAAGTGCTCTGTTTGAATGCAAAAGGCACCACACACTTAATGGAAATGGGAAATAACTGTGCAGTGCCCTTTTTCCTGCAGATGTAGGATGTCTGATATTCAGCTCTAACCTGGTATCTAGGACATCTCCCATACTGACAATAATCAGGAAAAAAAGGGATACAAGTCCTGCCAGTTCCTTCTGGGAAGGAAGGAGATCAAAGGAGAAACACGTGCAGAAAGGCCAGGAGATCTGGAACAGGAGAAGACTGGAAGGAACTCGGGGGACAAAAAAGCTCATACTATACACCCAAAAAAGCCCACAGTGCCCTTAAGCTGTTCTTTTCATGGAGGAATTGCTCAAAAGGATTTTCCTTCCCATTGAAGGATTTCTGTATGACTCTACTCTGGGGCCTGGACATCTGAGGTTGATCAACAACCCTGCTGTTGATGGCAGCCTGGGGACCGCAGAGCTCTGTGCCACCACTTTGGTACAGGAGCTTGAGGCTAAGGTCAGCCAAAAAAGTTGGCTGGGCTCTGCATAGGTTCAGACAATGTATTGTACCTTATTAGAGTTCTGTTAGTCCAGGTCTGGTCACCATTACCTCTTTGTTGATAATTTTGTTTCCTCAGGAAAGTCTGAGAATGAAAGGCAACATCATTCATTTCACCTTCATGACAAAGATACTGAATTAATACTTATTTAAAAAAAGAAAAGCCAATTGAAATGTAGTTATTGTTTGGAAAACAAAAAGAATTATATCAGTTGTACAGAAAGAAATTCAAAGTATTCAATTTTTTTTTTTGGAGCCAAATCAACTTGATTTCCTCTCCCTCAATAGGATGTCCCTTTGGTATTTGATGTATTTTCTGATTTTTGAAATACCAATTTTGTTGTTATTGTTAGTGAAAAAGATGTTAAGAATCCTCCCAGAATACACTCATGAATAAGTGTTGAATTCATTCATTTCCTTAAATCCGTCATCTTGGCTGTGTAATGTTACTTGAGGCAACACTACTGCAAGGTTGTGTGGGGCTCACTCCAGGTCTCTGCTCAGCTGGTACTCCTGTGCAGAGCTGAAAACATCACTGAAAACATCCATTGAATGTGGACACTGTTGACATTAGCTCCTAGCTGGGGAAAGGTTTAAGCTCCACATGAGAGGTCTGTGAATAGATGTCAAACTCTTCTGTCAAGGTGGGTTTTTCCATGGCAGCATCATGTCCTGCCCCAAAGAGCACCGCAGATAGAGCAAAAGAGAATAGCATCAAGCTCTGCTCTGCAGCAGCATTTTAAAGCTGAAGGCAATTCAGATTTGTTCATCTGGAGAGAAGAAATTGTTCTTTGGTTTTTGAGTGCTAGGTTTGTTCTGCACCGCTGCTAAGCTGAGGGTTTTGCCTTTTTTTCAAACTTTGTCATCTGAGGAAATCCATATCTAAAGTAAAACAAGCAAATTCATCTTACAAGGTGAGTGTAAATGGAAGCAGTCACTAAGGAGGCTCTGTCTTAATGCAGAATTTTATTTTTACCTTTTCTTCCATCTCCATTCACTGTTGGCATACAGCTACTCAGGCTTGCCATTTTCAGTGTCCCTTATTAACACTTTCTGCTGGAGTAATGCCATCTGCCTTATACCTGTGTTGTCTCCAACATCGGAGCTGCAGAGCAAAGGTGTTACTCCAGTAGTGCAGTTGTATAATCACAAACTCTTTCACTGTGGTGTGGAATGGTGGCTCTCTCTAAAACTGCAAGTGTAATTTGCTCTAAGATATTTTGATTTTCGGATGGAGAATTGCACATGTGGATCTGAAGTCTTCTGGAGCAATATTTCCATAGTAAAAATGAGACTGGTGGTGACAGTTTTCATTATGGTAAAGGAGATGAGTTCTTAAAACTTCTTTTGGCAAAATTAAACCCTTCTGCTTGGCCCACAAAAATATAATTTCTCTGACTCAAATGTAGATCTGATATTTTGCTATTCAATTAAATATCTCTGCCCTCTTAGAGAGTCTGCAGTTGTTACTCAATTTCCTAAACGTGGCACTCTGAGAGAGGGAGGGACTTGTTCACTGCTTTTTTTCACTGAGGCTGTATCTAGGATCTGCAAAAATTAACCTATAAGTGAGTCTTATGGTGCAGCTGCCTTGTATTTGCTGTGCCATCGCCCCTGTAAATACAATTTTTTCATAAAAACAAACCTATTAACATCCGTCAGTTCAGTCACTTCCATGACCTTGGCAGGTCAGTGTCCTTGATAACAACTTTCCTGTTTGTTTTAAGCTGGTTTCTCACATGCTGCTATAAGTGACCCCAAACAGCAGAACATGGGAACACATACATGCTAATCACTCAAAAAAGCCCACAAAGTTTCATTTTAGGTCAATCTGCCTCAACAGTATCCTTTGAAGAGACCTGACTTCGGTGGGTGGGTAGGGTGCACTGGACTCTGACCATAAGTGTCTTTCTGATTCACTTCCTTCACTATCCACTGCAGGGCACATTTCCCTGGGGAGTTTTCCCACAGTCAGGAGGTGATTCTACAAGTAGCAGCCTACATAGCACCATCTGACCTTACCATGCACAATGTTTAAACAGTGTTGAGCAACTGACTGTGTCAGAGATGCCAGAGCTTGAAGCAGTGTGGAGTTCCAGGGGAGACATCTCAAACTGGAGATACAGAAGGGATGAGGGATTAGTTACAAAATCGAGTGATTTGGAAACTTTACCCCTTTCTGATTTAGTACTGATTTAGTGAAGCACTTTTTTTCTGCACTGCAGTTGTAGCCAGCAGCACATACAGAATAAGGATTGAAATATTTTGAAGTGCTGTCACAGTGTGAATGATTTTCTTTAGAGCATAAAATCAGTCTGCAAAGTTATTTTCTGTCTGCAGTGACACAAGAAGAATTTGAATGTCATCATCTCTGGCCCTGGGCATACAGAAGAGTAGAACTGGCCTTAGCTGGATTCTCTTTCATTCAATCCTTCCAAGGAATATAAAATCCAAAAGAAACTCTAAATCTGGCTAGGTGTCTCATAAGAGGAACAGGATTTCTGCATAGCTGAAACAGCATGGCTTTGATAATTTAAAAACGCATGATTTAATAATTTCATTATGCATACCTTTTCTCAGCAGGTGCCACAGCCTAAAACAGACAGCGACAAGCATTAGATAAAACAACATGCTTTCTAGCTGGAGAGATTGGAATCAAAGAGCTTAATCTTGCAAGGTGCTGATATCCTCAGTGCCTTTAGACTTGGCTGCAAACAGCAGGTGTGCCATGCACAGCTGAATTGAGCCTTAGCAGAGTCCTTCGCTCAGAAGAAACATCCTGCGGGACTACTTTGATGTTTCCTTTCCTTAGTGCATATCTGCCCATGTCCCACTCTCCTCCCCTTTATCTGCACATGAATGGTGTGAGGAAGAGTTCTGCCAGAGTCCTCATATGCACTGTCAATTCATGCTGCTCCAACCGCCCCCACCTCCTCACCCATCCAACATCTGTCCAGGCTGTGAAATCATCGTGGAAGAGACACGGATCTCAGATCTGCCTCCCCAGATACCAAAGAGAAAAGAGATTGATTGTGCCAAGTAAAGTTTCTGCACAAAGGCAGGTTTTAGCTCTTTAGAGCATCACCCATTCCAGACAGAAAGCCACTACCCCCAGCACAGCCCAAGGACAGGTCCCTCGGATCCCCCAAAGGACATGGGACACACCAGCCAAACCTATCTGAAATCTCTGCAGGGGACACCCGGGGCATCCCAACCTATCAGTCCGCGCTAAATTGCTTTAAACTCTGTGGTTGAAGCCCCCAACAGGAAAGAGCAGGGACTACAAACTCAGCATCTTCACCACGACTCGGCAGGTAAGAGAACCAGAGCATGCAGCCCTCTCTCTGCTAGAAAGGAGGCTGAGAACACCGACCAGTTTCCTGCAGACCTAAACTGAATTAATCCAGTGACCCAAGGAGGCAAAGCTCAGTCCCAGGTCCTGAAATGTGGTCTCATGGCCAATTAAATGCTGTTCAAAGGGCAATAGAGCATCAGAGAGCGCTTTGATCTCAGAGATGCCAGCCAGATGTGTAATATCTACTCAGGTGTTTGCCAGGGATCAGTTTACAGTCCTTGCACATCAGACAGACAGGCTTCTTCCTGGGTTTGCTAACAGAAGCAGCAATTCTCACAAATCACAGAGAACAGAAATAATCCCTACCTTTTTAAACATCAAAAACTGTAAAGCTTCACAGCTGCACGGTTCTGAAATTGAATTGAATGACTTGACTTGCCAAAACCAGAGATCAGAGTTCTAGGTCTTTCATGCCCCAGCTGAAAGTATCAATAGCACTCAAAGAAGAGCACAGTGCTGCCTTTCAAATACCAAATGTGGCTTTAGAAGCATTATTTGGTCTTTACCTTCAAACACGGTAACCTCAATTCAAAATGAATGTGAAGTAAAGAAAACTGACTTTCAACACGAACATTTTATTATTTAAAGACTGCTTTTCTTTTTTTCTGAAGTTACATCTAAAACTAGCCAAGGAATCTGAATTTTGATTAGGTCTTGAATTTAAAATAAAAAGCATTTGAGTTCATCTTCAGGTGTCTAGGCAGTAATGTGAGTGTTTTCTCTGCAAGCAATGCAACAGTTCAAAAGCAATACCCGTGCAAGCACAAATCACACAGGGATCCAGGGAAAAAGGCTTTTGAGATGAAGTATTCAATTCCTAGAAATTACTTTTTCCACTGATCCATAAGAATCCCACGTCTGTTGACTTCTCCTCATGCTGTAGGACCTCATTGCTCAACCAGAATATCTTCCTGCTTAGCTACAAATCCCTTGGCTTCATATATTGTCCCAGCACCTGAAATACCTGAACAGCTCAATGTAAATCATGTATTTATCTTTCTAACATCCCTTTGAGTTCTGGCACTGTTACTACCTACCTTTTACAACAGCTAAAGGCAAGGTAGAGGGAATCTAAATAACTGGTCAACAACAGCTTTTTACTCATTGGTCACTGCATTATTCAATCAGGTTATTATAGAGAAACAAACTGTTATTAACTGCTGAATAACATTAAAACATACCAGCATTAAAACCAGAACTATTCTTCTTGAAAACACACAGAAGGAGATCAGTCATCATTTTACTTACCACAATATCTCCCTTGTCAGGATGAGCTGGAGAGCTCAGCCACTCTTAGGGGGGCATGTCCAGTCCTTCATCATCTGGGGAAAACACCTGTGGGGACTCTGACAGCAAAGACTAGATTCATACATATATATAAACCATACCTATATTTTTTATGATTTTATATATATAAATTCTCTCTATATATATAAACATGTATTTAGGTGTGTATGTGAAATGTAAAAATGTAAAATCCATAATTATCTTCAAAGCATAGCATCCTGAACCCCATGGAAACCTGTTGTTTTTGACAAATACTTTCTCTTTTTTGCCTTTTTATCACATCCCTCAACTGCAAAACCCAGAACCACTTTGTGTCACGGCAGAGAAAAGAAAAGAAGTGGGAAAACCAAAGCCAAGGCAATTAAAAGTTTTAGATCTGCCTCTGCTAATGTTACCAGCACTTTCTCAGTGATCACTGGTGACTGGTGTGTGTATTGCATCTAGTGCTCATCCGAAAACCAGTGCTGATAATACAAAAAGTCAGGGCCTACTTAAAATGCTGAGTGGGGAATCTGCAGAAGGGCATGAGCTGGTTATGCTGGCTCTGAACCAGAAACATCCCAAGCCACCGAGCTGTGAGCTTCTTGTAAGTTTTGCTGATGTCTGGTCCTTGTGTTCATAATACCCCAGGTAAGAAGCTACATCCAAGCTTCTCTGCACCTGTGTGGTGTTTGAAAAGCACGATCCAAATTTTGCATCTTGAGACCACATAGAAAGTGAACAATTTAAAAATAAACAGAAAGAATCCCCCCCCCCCAGCCTGCTGCTTATTTTACATTCTCAAGTCTCTCTGAATTTGTACAAATAGTAGGAACCAGTCAGGCTACGGATGAATCAGGAAATTACCTCATCTCTTCCAAGAACACACATTAAAATGAAGAAAGAGATGAAGATCAGGGGACCTGATGCCCTTCAGGAACTACTGCTGGAAGCTTTGCCTCTAGGTGATGAGAGGGGAGGTGGTTAATCCAGGGCAGACTGAGGAAGATAACATTTCTGTACTTGTACAACATTAGTTCAGACAGGAGTCTATTAACAGTGTCTGATGGAAGCAATTGTATTATTTATTAAACTGACAAGATCAATTGGCTGCTTTGTACCCATATAAAGAGAACTATTGTACTTTCATGTCCTTTTAAACACAGAGAATAAAGCACTCCCCAGGGTGCTTTCATGGGCTGCCTTCGATTAAGAGTTCTGAGAACATCTGATATTGTCAGAGATGGCTCGCCAGATCCCCAACTGGATTCACAGTCCTCACAAAGAAGGAAGATGGTAGCAATTATAATCATCAGTGCTCTGAGAAGGAAGGACCTTACCTGACTTAGAGGAGTGCTTTTACTCAGTCTTCCCAAAGATTAGGCTCTCAAACCTGAGGGAGACTGACCCGCTTTGATAGCACCAGCAGCAGTGTCAGGACTGGCGTCGTGGCACGAATAACTGAGCACAGGATGTTAATCCCCTTCTTCACCTGAAAAATGGGATGAGGGAAGGAAGATGGCAGTTTCTAGGACATGAGTAATTTTTACTAGGGCCCCTCACTACAAGACATATATTGAGGGGCTGGAGTGAGTCCAGAGAAGGGCAACGGAGCTGGGGAAGGGGCTGGAGCACAATTCCTAGGAGGGGGGGCTGAGGGAGCTGGAGGTGTTTAGCCTGGAGAAAAGGAGGCTCAGGGAGGAACTTATGGCTCTACAACTATCTGAAAGGAGGTTGTAACAAGGTGGAGGTTGGTCTTTCCATCTGGGGAAAAGCCCAAGTCCATTGTTATTTAGTACATGCTACTAACTAGGTGTGTTAACACACATTTTTACCTGCAGAGTATTTTGAGGAGTACATCCAGAGGCTGCAATTTTATAAACTACAAAATAAGCAATTTCAGTCCATTTAGAGTGGATAAATATGCTAACCGAGTGGCACACTTGATAAATTAATAGCAATGCTGTCTCAGAGCAGCTATTTCTGGGCAGTTATGGAATTTTCCAAACATCTGAATGCACCTTTTACTATGTGCTCCTAAACAGAGACGTGCACTGATTGCACCAAAGTTGGCACCAGCTTATGGAAGGAAAAATTCTTCATGGGTACCAATGCAGTGTTGTTCTGAGTTTTATTGAATCACACTTCTGTGTTTATCAACATAGAACTAAAGCCTCCTACAAGCTGCCAAGTATTATTGTGACACATACATCCTGTATGTGATGAAGCTCAGACTGAGTCTCTCACAGCTTGTCCAGAAACTGGGAATGTCTCTGCTCACAGTTAGAGCAGAATAAACTTGTAGCAACTCTGTTAGAGGACTTCCATGGTTTTTACCTAAATTTACCTAAGTGTAAATGAGTATGTTTTGCCTTATATTCAAACCCAGCTTTTATATTGGATTTTGCCCAGTCTTTGCCATCTTAATACATCTATTTTAAGATGAAATATGTACAGCCCAGTGTTCTCAGTTAATACTGCTCCAAGCAGTTTCAGAAAGAGTGGAAAATAGAGCTACATGAAATTTCCCTGCTGTTCTATTTTTCCCTGTTTCTTACCTCTGCCACCTGGATGTGCCAACCTTCACCAGCAGTGCCAAGAGACCTCGTGGCCAATCAGCCTCAGTTTTGGGAATAATCCTAAAATCTCTCATTTTCTACTATTTTACTCATGCAATTTTAATCTTCAGTCTGCTGCTTCTTTATCTCTGCTGAACCTTACAAACCTTAAGCTGATGTTCAGCATCAGGCCTGTGCACAGTCACCAACACAAACCAGCAAAGCCCGTGCCCCACCTCCCGGCTGCTGGACAGCACTGCGGGGATCCGGCTGCCAAAGCTCCGGGGGGGAAATCGGAACCCTCAGCTACGGTGTGTCAGCTGCTGCGGCTTTGCAAAATACTGATCTTTCCCGGTTGGAGAAGTAAGCAGTGGCTAAATATAATATGTATTTATAATTATAAATATGTAAAGATAAAATTATAAATAAATATAAATATACACAGCAGCACCCTCTGCACCCACTGTGGAGATCTGTATTGCAGGACAATGGTTGTTGTTACCAAATTTAACAAATCTGCGGCCCTATTTATTTTTACATTCTTTATAACCTGGTTTCCAAGGTACCACAGTGTGACGCTGTGGTCAGTCAGCGTCACAAGCGGAGAGGAAGCTCAAACTCTCCTGATGTGGAGCATCTGATCCTCTCAGGATCAGGTGACATTAGGAAAGAGCTCTATAGGGAAATTATCAGACAGTGGAAGGAGGTGGCAAGGAATTACCAATAGAAATGAAAGGAAGGAAGAGCAAAGTAAATATTTGTAGTGGGGAAAGAGGACAAGGAGCACAAATGGTGCAATACACAGATAAACATTCAAACTTGGCCATCACACAACACCAGTCAGTGCCCACTTTCCCAGTTCTACAACCTCCCTAGATTTTAGGACAGTCAGTCAGTGTAGACAGGCTCTGTAGTGAGTTAATTACAAAAGTTTTCTCGTTCATGTTTAAAATACCTACCAAGAGATGATTCATTAATTTTCTTACAAATTGCAATGAGAAAATGAATTCTTAACTCTACTAATTTGTGTGTAAATTTGAAAAGAATAGCTGACCTTGCCTGCAGGAATAGCTAAATGTGCTCACGAGAGTCTTGATGTCTCTAACCATCCTGTGATCCTAGCCTGCACACACAGAAAAATAAACATATTTCAAGGATATAACTGTGTGAGCACACAGCATAATTTATCCTGCTATGGATCATTAAAGTCTCAGCATAGTGACAAATGTGTCATTCCCTGTAAGTTATACTGAGTGGGTAAAAATTGTGGAAAATACCTATTTAAGGACGGAATAGTCCATCTGGATCACAGGAACCTTCTTCTCACAAGCATTTCTCAGGAGTTCCCTCTTTTCTGTAGGACAATTTTAGGAAATCTGTAGGACTTGCTTTTTAGATTAAAAAAAAAAAAAAACAAACACAATGAGGCCCGAAAAACATACACATACATGTGTTTTGTTTTGGTTTTTTTCAAGAACTATAACATCAAAACTTTCAAAGTCCTTTCCTATGTGACTTCATTCCAAGAGACATATCCAAAGAAAGGAGCACTTAAAGGTGAGTTTATCTATTTTATCATCTTTCATGAGTCTTCTTTCTTTATCCAGCTGCAGAGTAAGAGCATGAGGGATTTTTCATATCCTACACAAAAGCAACGGAGGCAAACAGAGAACACTTCTGTGGAAAACACCTGCAGTTACAACACTGAGTACCTGCATCACTAAGGAAAGTCTTACTTGTTTTGGCATTTGTGTCTTTCTGGGACCAGCACTTCCTGGTTTAGTAAACTTCCTGGACATAATCTTCTAAGCCATAATTAAAAGACAAGTTTAAGCATATATTGGATAACGAAGTGATATTGTGAGCAAAGCAACATCTGGCTTAACAGACAGGTATAGTCTAGAGTACACTTTTATAGAATCATATCTAAATTACTAGTTATTATAAATGAGACCAAACAGAATCTAAGAAGTCTTTACATCTTGTGGGTTCTCAAAAATCCATATCTATTGTGACTTTCTATACTTGCTTGTTGCCAAGCCAAATGTATGAATGTAGTAAATACCAAAACCAAATTTTTTGTTGCAATACTAATTTGTCTTCCAGGACCCTGTGATCCTTTCAGTGTTTCCCCCACAGGATCATTTCTTGCTCATGGCACTAAATCTGATTTAGAGTATTCATTGACTGGTCTAAGCTCCAGTTCTCATCAGGCCATTCAAATTTACCTCTGAATACAGAGAGGTTTAAATTCCTTATCTCTCCCTCTGCTGTCCCTGGCAACACCCTATCTCAGCTACTGCCTTTAGAACTCTTGTAGGAACTTATTAAAAGCACAAACCACTAGGAATGTCATGCCAACTCCAGCCCTTTCAATGACGGAGAATATTTTTTTTCCCCCACTTGAAGATCTTTCTGTCTTAGAAGCCTTTTCTTTTCCATTCTTTTTTCAGAGCTTCAGGATTGGTAAGAACTTACTGCACAATTCGTCTCTTGTGCTT